AGAGACGTAGGATTAAGGTGGCAGTGGGTGAAAGAGAAAGCTCAGGTCTAAAAGGCTTTGGGTGATCTGAGAAATGTGGAAAGATACTAAGGCAGATACAGAGATGGGAGCATTTGGGTCTCTGGTTCGATGAAATCCTCCCCCAGGCACTGCTAATGGGATCCCTGGTGTGCAGGCAGAGACACAAACACAGTTTCCCAACCCTTGCACAGAACTGCCATTTTATGGATATCAGAAATACGGCATTCCTAAGATTTGCACTTGACTTTTCTTTCCCTGCATAACTGTATAAAAACCTGGTGAGGAGCAGGCTCCCCTCTTGCCCCTAATTTCTCCGCTCTCCCTGGAGGAGCAGGGTTGTTTCTCAGTTTCTTTTGCAGGTCAGGGGTAGGACTCAGTACTGCTGCCTCAACGCATACAGCTTAGCCACGCTAGCACCAGGCAGAGAAAAAGTAGTGGCGATACCTTCTCATACCCTCCGCTCCATTATCATCGAGCCCTCCCAATTGCCCTCAGCTTGCCCAGCGTCCTCCTTTCACCCCAGCCTGCTCCACAGCCTATCCATCCTTCCAAGACACCAGTCTCTCACAGAAAACTACCGGCAGGCCCGTACCACAGCCCCAAAGCCCCTCTCTGCCTGAGGGGGACCACCACTCCTGTCCCACGACACGTCTTCCCCACCATCATCGCTTCTTTCCCCTCATGGGTACCTTGGGGAGCAGGCAGACAAGGGGATGGTGCTGGGGCTGGAGCAGCCCTGGGATACTCTTCGAAGGGTACTCAGCCCTTCACTTCCATACTCCTCTTGGATGCGACTGACACGAGATTCCCCACTTTGCTGTCAAACTAACGCGTTTGCTCAGCTCCCTTTCCCCCCTCTCCTTTCCGCCCTCCCGGCACTCCGCGGCTCTAGCTCATCCCACCTGACAAAACAGCAGGAGGCTTGCTCACCAATTCCCGCAGCCTCGGCGGCTCCTCACATTCACAGCCTCGAGGGCTCGGACACTGCGGCTCCCCGGAGCGATCCTCCGGACCACCTCAGCCTCTCGGGCCGGTCCAGCCCTGCCCAGCCACCGGAGGGCGGCCGGCAGCGAGTAAGGAGAGGAGCAGCGGGGCCGTGGAGGGCAGCGTGGCGGCGGCGGAGGCGGCGGCGGAGGCGGAGTGCGGCCGCTTCTCCTCTCCCCTGGCCGGCTGCGTCAGAGAGCGGCAGCACTGCTCAGTTTTCATTTCCCGCCCGGCAGAGCGCAGGAACAGAAAGTGAAACTCGCTCAGCCGTGGCCCGGCCCTGGGCAGCACGGCCCGGTGCGGTGGGACGGGACGGGACGGGGCGGGACGGGGCGGGATGGAAGAAAGGCGGCCGGGAGGCCATAGCCCTCTTTGCACAAGGGCTGCCCACCGCGGCCCAGTCTGCCCACGTCCTGACCCTCTCTGACACCTTGGCCTGGTTCAGTTTGGTTTGTGCTAGGCACTTGGGTTGGAAGGGACCTTCAAGATGACCTAGTTCCGACCCCCCTGCCACGGGCAGAGAAGTTGACCTCTGCAAGAAAAAGCCCTCTTCTTCAGCAGAGCCAGTACGTCAGGAGGTGTGTTCTGCCTGGACTTAGCATGGCTGCTCATTACCTCACAAAAGCAGACGCGTCTTGGGCCAGGCTTTCATTGGGTTTAGCCACAAAAGCAGTAGAAAAGCCGAACTCTTGCTAGCCTACTCAGAAGCAAGAAATAGCTCATTTAAAATGACCCCAAACAAGTAACTCACTGAGAAACTTAACCCAGGTGGCCAGCTGAAAGCCTCGGCAGTTTCCTGTCTGACGGTGGGCTGCGGTATGCAGTGGGATATACAGATGGCAGCACAATGGTAAGGACCAACTCCAGCATTAGCCCAAGCTGTGGGATTTCAGGCCTCAATAAGTCACTGATGTCTGGATGAGCAGAAGTGCTTGGGTGGACACTTCTCCAGTGTATACGTTAGGTTTCCAGGTCCCCTTCACCCTGGGTATCTGCAGGAGGAATAAAAGGGTGCAGAGCCCCGTAAGGAAACTTTGCTACTCAACGGATAGCCACTGGTTCAGCTTTGCTCCACTTGAGGTTAGAGTTTGAAGGTGAGTGGTGCTTCCTCACAGAGCTCTCTCTGCTGACTCTGGAAATGGTGCAGGTGATGCAGGGAGTCCTGCTATGTGTGTGAAGTAGACCGAGTCTCTGGGACCCCAGGAGGGAGAACCGCTGTGTGATTCGGCAGGGCACACTTCACTACCCTCTATGGAGGAGCTCCAGCAGAGTCATAGATGCCATGTCCTTCCTTTGCCACCAGACTGTCCCCAGGGCAGGCTCAAACCCTAATTCCTTCCTGTCCCTCTCTGCCTGTATGGTGTAGGTGTTGCCCCCTTCCACAGGCTGTGTGGAGCTCCTGGTGGCTTTCTTTATTTGCTCCCTAGCAGGTCACTGGTGTCTTGGAGGACCCCTTTGCCCCTCAGAAAAAACCCATCAGTGAGCTACTTACATGAATTCATATGTGCTATGCAGAAGCCTTCAGCTGTTGTTTCACTGTTACCAAATTCAGATTCAAATGAGAACCTGCTCACACAACCTTGCTCTGTTGGAGGCAGCACCACTGCTTGGCAGCTAGAGCTCTTCAGCCAAGGCAGCAGTGGCAGTGAAAAGCTTCCTGAATTGTCACAGGGATGGGTATGGATACCTATAGGGGCTTGTGAGCAGAAGGGCACAAATAACTCAGCATCTTTGCTGTGGTTCTGGCAGAGCCTCTTGTCAATGGTTTAAATTTAGCAGTGTTCCCTTCCTATTGCTAGCTAGTGTGGCATCTGCCTCATAGAAGGGAGGAAGAGAGATAGAAGAACTGCTAAGCCATAAGGTGCCTAGAGACAGTTTAACCACCTGAGCAAAGTGCAAACCAACACTGCAGACTGAACAGAAGCTAGGTCTGAAAGTTCTGTGGAAACCAGTGAAGTAGTGTGCAGCTAAAGTAGCTGTTGGTAATAACCCCTGTGAGGGCTTGGATGCCCAATTAAGGGGGGCATTTGTCTTAAAAATATTTAGGCTTTGCATGTGGAAGTTACTTGTGACACCCCACTTCCAAAACAGGTACCAGGCAGAAGTCTGAGCACAGAAAGTGTGCTCAGATGAAGGGATGGCTAAACTTGAAATGCTGTGTTCTGGTCTCCAAATACACTGCTGGCTGGTCATCACAGGGTAGGGTCACTATAACAAAAGCTGCTAGCTCCTGATAATTGCCATGGCACTTCTTATCTCCAGAATGCACTGACCTTTGTGAAAGCAGAGATCCCGATTCCCGAGTGTCCTTGCAAATAAAATAAACCACAACCTGATGAATAGATGAGATTTAAAAAGCTTTCAGGAAATTAGGAAGTGCACACCCAGTGTTTTAGGATGCTTACAGTACTCCACACTGGATCAACAACTTCCGCTTCACTGCATTGCTTTCAGCAGTTTTTCACAGAACAGACCAAACAATTCATCTGCCATGTTTAATCACGGGGTTTTGTCTTTACCTCGTTGCCTATTTCTCCTCTCTTACGGGAAGAACAGGGTCACTTATCAGTTTGAACACATACATGTGTGTCATGTATGAATTTCCTGTTTCTGGTTTGGGGCCTAATTCAGAACAGAACTGTGAGGGAAGCCAAAAAGGAGTCTAAATTCCACTAGGCTGAGTAATACTTATTCATGTTTCTTCGGTTTAGGTACATAATCAAGCATGTCCTAAATAGGATGTTTTCCTAAACAGAGCCATTTCTGCTACTCCATAACTTCATAGTTTAGTAATTTACTGATCTGGTTAATTAAATGGGGTACACCACTAGTTAATGGCCTCCAACTAGATCTTACACCACTGATTACCACACTCTGGGCCCAGCCATTCAGTTTTCAGTCCACCTCACTATGCTGACCCAGCCCATACTTCAACAGCTGCCCTATAAGGATCTTACGGGCAACAGTGTTGAAAGCCTTATTCAAGTCTAGGTAGACAATGTCCACGGTTTTCCTCTAGTTTGTCAGGCCAGTTGTTTCATCATAAAAGGTCATCAAGTCAGTAAAGCATGACTTCTCGTTGGTGAATCCCTTCTGAGTACTCCTGACAGTTTTCTTCTTGTTCATGTGCCTGAAAGTTGTTTCCAGGATCAGCTGCTCCATCACCTTCCCAGGGATTGAAGTGAGGCTGAACAGCCTGTAGCTCCCTGCATCTTCCTTCTTGTCCTTTTTTAAGACAGGAGTGGCATTTGCTTTCCACCAGTCTTTGGCCACTTCTCCCAGTAACCATGATCATCAAACTTTATCACAAGTGGCCTTGCAATGACATCTGCCAGTTGCCTCAGCTCTCATGGGTGCAACCCATCAGGGACCCTCAATAAAAAGTGGCTGAAGGGTTTCCTAGTCAAGAATTGACATTGCCTAGCAAGACATGAATCCTATACATCTGAGATCTTGGATCACAACTTGGAATTATCTTTGCGTGAACATTCAAATGTCCATATTGCAGACTCACTTGCACATGGTGCACTAAATAGATTGCCATAGATGGCACAGTGGTCTGCTGGATAAAGCAGATGTTGTTTCTTGCAGAGGAAGAACTATGCAGGTAGAGCAAGGAATGCTGGAATGTTTTCAGGAGGTATGATACAAAAAAAAGAAAAAAGTTTAGGTTTTATAGTTTTTGTTTTGTTGTCTTTTTTTAAAGGGGAAAGCTTCTCATATAAACAGTTTGAATTGTAGTGGTTTTAGTATGTGCATTAGAGCTTAAACAGGCTTACATTAAATGTGCAAGGAAGAAGAGTGAGTGTTTTTGCATTGCTGGGAGTGGTGAGGCATTACTGCAGCTGATCCTATCTTACAGGACAATTTACCTGTGATTTATGGAATAAAAGATGTCTCTATATGACCCCTGTTAAATTTCTGTATATTACATACAAAAAAAATATGACCTAATCGTAGACACGTGCAATAGACTGATACAGAGACAATTCTGTGCTCACTAGGAACAAGGTGTATTTTGAAATTACTCCCCATCATTTTCTTCTTCAAATGAGTCAGTTCCCACTTCCTCATAGTCCTTCTCCAGGGCAGCCAGATCCTCTCGGGCCTCTGCAAATTCTCCCTCCTCCATGCCTTCACCCACATACCAGTGCACAAAAGCTCTCTTGGCATACATCAGATCAAACTTGTGGTCGAGCCTGGCCCAAGCCTCTGCAATGGCCGTGGTGTTGCTTAGCATGCAGACTGCTCGCTGAACTTGGGCTAGGTCTCCACCAGGAACTACAGTAGGAGGCTGATAGTTGATCCCAACCTGGAAACAGGAATATGAAAGAAGGTTGTGAAAAGGCAAGAGCCGTCAAAAGCAGTCAAACAGCTGAAAAAATGTGAGTAAAGTTACAAATGCTGGCGTAGAGTAGTGCCACTATCAAAACTACCAGACTGCATATTACATAAGAAATAATAGTATCATAAACAATATGACATAGGGTGTAAGAGACTGCATCAGTGAAAACACCACCACCACAGCAGGATGTCTGGCTCAACACTGGTATGGGAGGAAGACTGACATCTCCAATACCACTGCCACAGCAGGATGTCTGTCCTCGCATTACTATGGCAAGAAAACTACATTGCCAATACCACCACCACAGCAGGACGTTTGTGAAGGATATCTGTCTCAACATGGCTCTCCAGTTGACACTTCCGTGCAGGGTGTTTGCCTTAACATTGCTACATCACGGAACCACGAGGGGAGAAGACCCTCTAGTGACAGTATTGCACCTGCGCACCAGACATTGCTGCTCTGGGATGGTAGCTATTGCTATGAACTCTTTTATTCTTTTCTCTTACTTTCCTTCCTTTCTCTCTCTCTCTCTTTTTCTCTCTGGAATTTGTTGGTGGGCAAATAAAATTCCTTGACTCTTGGCTCCTTTTTAAGCCTCAATTCTATTCTTGAGAATACGAGCAAAACCATGCTCCGGACTTTTATCAGCGTGCGACACATGGTCATTTTACTGCCTGTGGTATCCTTCTGTTTAATGTACACTGCCAGCTTCATAGCTTTCTTAGCAGCTAATCAATACTGAATATGCAGCTCCAACAAGATACTCCATAGAAACTAATACAGAAAGTAAGTTAGTTCCCAGTTAGCTTTCATTTTTAAGCTGGCTGTTTACATGACAAATGTTTTTTCCACTGCTGTTTGTATTATTGTTGACATTATGTTTGCCAACACTGGTACCTTGCCAGCAGGGCGAAGGCTGTATATATTTCCTTTATAAATTGTATTGGGTTTGGTATTTCCTTTGTTTTAGATGTTGCTTCAGAGGGAGCACTCACTGGCTTTTCCAAAATTTGGGTCTGAAATTAATACTTCTTTAAATTTTAACTCATATACACTTCAGATTTCCATTTACATAAATATTTAGAAGTCTGTGTCAATGGGATGTCCAGAGGAGGAAGGGCACATACATTATGCAACCTCATCTTTCATATGTTCCTTTGCCTCACAACTGGAAAACGTACGAGATCTACAACTTTAAATATGAGTTGTCTGCTAGACTAAACTTGCCCTTTAAACATCAAAAAGAAGTTCATGGCAGCCTACTCACCTTGAAGCCTGTTGGACACCAGTCGACAAACTGGATGGTTCTCTTGGTCTTGATGGCAGCAATTGCGACATTGACATCCTTGGGAACCACATCACCACGGTACAGCATGCAGCAAGCCATGTACTTGCCATGTCTTGGGTCACACTTTACCATCTGGTTGTTGGGCTCAAAGCAGGCGCTGGTGATTTCAGCCACTGAGAGCTGCTCGTGGTACGCTCTGTCAGAGGAGATGATGGGGGCATAGGTGACTAAGGGGAAGTGGATGCGCGGGTAGGGCACCAGGTTTGTCTGGAACTCTGTCAGATCCACATTGAGAGCACCATCGAAGCGCAGTGAAGCCGTGATGGAGGAGACAATCTGGCTGATGAGACGGTTGAGGTTGGTGTAGGTGGGACGCTCGATGTCCAGGTTTCGGCGGCAGATGTCGTAGATGGCTTCATTATCCACCATGAAGGCGCAATCTGAGTGCTCCAGGGTGGTATGTGTGGTCAGGATAGAATTGTAGGGTTCCACCACAGCAGTGGAAACCTGTGGGGCTGGGTAGATTGCAAACTCCAGTTTGGACTTCTTTCCATAATCCACGGAGAGTCGTTCCATTAGTAAGGAGGTGAAGCCAGAGCCGGTACCCCCACCAAAGCTGTGGAAGATCAGGAACCCTTGCAGCCCAGAACAGGCATCAGTCTAAAAAGCAAAAGAGAAAAATAGGGGCTGAAGAAGAATGAAAAGACTTCATCTACTGTATGAGCTGGAGGAGAGAGCAGGCATCAGGAATATGCAGCATAGATTTCATGGCATGTTTCCTTGAGAAAGGGCTCATGATAATCCCATTCTTTTCATTCCTCACTCACTCAATTTAGGCCATAAAAATCAGATTCATCGATGGAGCTTCTCTCTCTGAACTTCACACTTCTCTTACTTAGTCTGTCTGAAACCAGCAATGTAGAACTGCCTAATTCTATACCAGTATTGGTGGTCAAGGGCTGTGCTAATCAAGAAGAATTACAAATTCAGAACCACTTTTTAATGCCTGGAGGCATACAGCTGGGAACTGAACTACTGGGCTTCTCTCTCTTGGAATAGCAATGATGCATCGTATGTCTTTCAACCTCTTCTCTAAACCATTGGTATTATTTGTAGGTAACCAGGTACCTGTTCTGCACCTCTTTCTTCTGCAGAATCCAAGCTGCTGTTTCAAAACTACTGGGACTTACCAGTTTACGGACACGATCAAGCACAATATCAATGCTTTCTTTGCCAATGGTGTAGTGGCCACGGGCATAGTTATTGGCTGCATCTTCCTTTCCAGTGATCAGTTGTTCTGGATGAAAAAGTTCCCGGAAAGTCCCAGCCCGCACTTCATCTGAACAAGAAGAGAAATGTAAGAATTTCTCAGTATGGCTGCGCTCCAGTGCCAACAAATTGTGGTTGATGTTGGCATTGATGCAAGCTTTCAGTCATGGGACATCATGACCCACATAACAGATGCTAATGGGAAAATGTCTCCCAAGCATTTTTTCATTGTTGCATTCTGTTGATTTATGGTGTGACTTGTATCCAGCCACACAAGTTGATATCTTCTCATGAACTTGTCAGTTGTACAGTCTGTACCCACAAGAGGACAAGTCACTAGGAAAAAAGTGTGAGAAAAAATCAGGTCCCCCATGGTGCCCCAATTTTTAGGCATCTTTTTATTCGTGGGGGGTAAACTGTCAGGTTCCCACTCTGAATCCGGATCAAGCAAAAGCAGAATTCAAATGGCAAGCCATGATAGATAAATAAAACCAAAAGTTAAGTGTTTGTGCAAAGAGAAGTCACACAAACCATGTGCAGTAGCTGTTAAACTGCTGGGGATCCTGCTGATCCTATGTTTATAACACCTATGGCAGAATCTGCCATTCTGTGTCATAAGAAAATTAATTTCATACTATCTAGTGGTCTATATAGAAAGGGAGTGCTGCTTTGTACCAGTGGAGACTGGTGGCACACTGTGGTGATGATAGGAAGAGTAAGCTCTTCTCCCTTTTACAGGTTTATTTCCATACTGACCGACTACACTTGGTTCCAAGTCCACCATTACAGCCCGTGGCACATGCTTCCCAGTGCCTGTTTCATTGAAAAACGTAGTAAAAGAGTCATCATTGTTGAGTTTATCCTGCACATCCTTGAAGGTGCCATCTGGCTGAATGCCATGCTCCAGGCAGAAGAGTTCCCAGCACGCATTTCCTATCTGAACTCCAGCCTGGCCAACATGAATAGAGATGCATTCACGCTAAGGGTAGAGAGCAGAGAGAGGCAGGGTCAGAAAAACCACTGAATTGTCACCGTCAGCATTTCATTTGGTTGTTCAATCCCATGACCAGAATGAGACTGTACGTTTAAACACAGATGCTGGGACAGCTCTTTATAATATTGAGACCTATGTGCTGTAATATATGGGTACATGAAAACAGGCAGGAAAAAAGGCATAATTTCCTCTACACAAACCTCACCTCTCCTACTATGGATTGGCCCTGCTGAAAAGCACATCCCAGTTCAGTTTATTTTTACTCCTGGCTGGAACCTGACACAGCCATGTGGTATCCTTCAACGTAATGTAACCCAAGACAGGTGCTGTGTTTTGATCCTTTTACCCTCTGATAGCAGGCTGGAGTAGAAACTGGGCAGAACTGCTTTAAGAGCATTTCACCTCAGGAAATTATCTCAGATTCTCTCTGCTGAAACACATGTTCCTTCAACCTCCTGAACAGCTATGTATTTTACATTGCAGGTCCATTGCTTATTCAGGCAATGCCATTGCAATAGAGTATGCTTATTTGCTTAATTTTGAGCACAGTTTCTGTAGGAGCCACGAACTTTAATGAAAAGAAACCAACGTCTTTAACACCAGGCTAGAGTTAGTCCTGATGATTACAACACTGGGTGTAGTAAAGGGCAGTTTTTTAAGGAGAGAGTGGTTTCAGATTGAGTTTTTCAGCTTCAGTTTCTGCTTTGGAGCAACTTTAATTAAAGTCTTCTGAGCTTTGCCTGTGTGATCTCAGTGGCTCTGCCTATACTAAGGAATAAGAGTCAGGTGACAGTACTGAGCACTGGCCTGTGGTCACCTGTGTGACTGCTAATTTGCACACTCTCTGGCACAGCTTTGGCTTATGACAGTTCATTCTTTTCCAGACAATGCTTCAGCACTCCAGAATACATCTCATTGACAAGAATGGTTTCCAGTGGGCAGCTCACTGACCACTGCCTAACTTTGGAGAGGGAAAGAGAATTCAGATACCTAAATATGAAGCAGATCATGCTACCTGGCTTTTTGGACTGATAATGGTCCTCAATTGTTTTTGTTTTGCATTACCGCATGGAGAGATATCCAGTGACTTAATATCAGATGCTTATCTTGCAAAATCATCCTGTGACCTGAGAGTGAATTGCATCTTCCCCCATACTCCTCAGACCAACAGCTTCTGTTGCCACATATTTGTTGTAGAAATGTAACTAAAGATGTTTTTTTTGGAAGCAAGTGGAATTTCAGAAGTCAGCACTGCCCCAGTTAGTCATCCTTGCAAGTTCAAATGAATATGGAAGGTCAACTTAAATATTTCATTCAATTAAATATATAATTTCTATTCAGTACTCATTTGTAAGTTGAAAGGAGTTGACAAATGCCTATGCAGCACTGTGTGTAATGTGCTCCCAAGTGTACTTGCACAACCCTGTTTTTCTCAGTTGAGTTGTGCAAAGTATCTGAGTTAAATTTGGGTGACGAGGCTTTACAGGCTGGTATGTTGCAGGGGAGCTGCAATCTGGAGGATTATGCAGGAGACACTGAAGGCATTTTTGGACTCTGAGAATTCAATTAATGCTGATTTTGCACAGTACAGGCTCCTTCTTTCCTTTCAAATCCCGGTGTGAGTCTGTGAAGCTGGCAGTAAGAACAAAAATTCCTTTTAAACACGGCAGTGAGGCCAGGTGACTGTTTTAAAGGATGTCTTTAAAAGATCAAAACTGCAAGTCAAGCAATACTTTGAAAGTAAACAGCTACTTTTCTCTATTCCTCAGATCAATAATTTGCCTGTTTTTTCCACAGATGGAACAAGAGAATGTTGCCTTAGAAAGTTAATACTGTAAAGCTTAGTATAGGGCTACAGCTGAGGACTGCAGAACCAGTTCTTTTCCTCTCAGACTGAGCTTGAAGAAGTGCTAGTTTGAAACAGTATTTCATCCCCCCCTTTAGAGCCAGGCCTCTTGCCGTGCTCCTGCCCAGCAGTAATTTGGAATTATTCTGACAAAGAGAGAAGACAGTAACAAAGGTGTTTCTCATTTTGCATAGTGAACAGCTTTAAAATAGACTTTTAGTAGGGAAGACAGTGGGCCTTCTTCAGAGTCACAGGCAGGGTAAACTGATCTCTACATGATATTTAAATTTGGATTTGGAGCCCACTCTAAACTCATGTTCCACATCCCATCACTCATGTACCAGGATCTGTCTTACAAATTGTGAACTTGACTTTTTAGCTACCAAGAGAGAGCAGAAAGAACCAGGTCCTTTATGAAACTACACCTGGGACAGCTTTGACTTTATTAAAAAACCCCAGAATACTACCTGTCTTAAGTAGTTTTGGTACAAAGGCAGACTTGAGTCTTCCAGCTATTCCCAAAACACACTCACTACCCTGGGTCTGCTTTAAGGCATGGGGAGCCTGTGGATCTGTGTAGCTATCTTGCCTGTGAAATGCGTGCTTTCATTTTGGACCTACAGCTGTATTGGCTGAGATGACAGCCATTGGGGCTAAATTAATTTAAAACAGACAGAAAGAGAAGTAACTTATTTTGTTTATTTCTAAATATATATATATATTATCTCATGTGAAAATGAACCTGTACTGATAAAATACAGTCATAGAATCATAGACTCATAGAATCACAGAATGGAAGGGTTGGAAGGGACCTTAAAGATCATCCAGTTCCAATCCCCCTGCCATAGGCAGGGACACCTTCCACTAGACCAGGTTGCTCAAAGCCCCATCCAATGTGCCCTACTCATAACAGAAAGTATTGAAAAGCTAAGACTCCAGATCTAATTTATCTTATAATTCCACTAAGTAGAGACTGAAGAAAACTTTGGTTCACCATGCCTTACAGCTCCAGTGAGATTCTCTAACACTTCTTTCCTACCCTCTTGTGTAGTAATCAGTGCATGAGTTTTAGGCACAGACTACCGATTAAGAACAGCAGATCCCCCTGCTTTCCTTTGCCCTTTGTCCTCATGGTCCCTGTATGACTTCTGTTCCCACAGCCGCCTTACCATGGTGTCACCAGTGGTGTTTCCTTCCCTTTCAGATCAGTGGTGGCCGGTTCTTGCGGAAGCCTGGCTGTGGGCTGCAAGAAGGAGGCAGCCTTGGCCCAGCATCCAGCACCTGCTGCTGTGCCTCAGTGTCACAGTGTGGTGCAGAATAGGTCACCCTCTGTACCACTGCCTCCTGCCCTCCCTGCACCCCACGTGTGCAAAGTCACCCAGACAGGCAGGGCTCTCATATATCCCAGATCTCAAATTCAGTCCCACCTGGTTCAGTCTGCTTATTGAATTTGAACATGGCATGCCATACTTCATAACACTTATTATACATACATATCACCTACAACACACATACCATTCCAGTTCCCTGTTCTGTCAGTATGTACATGTGTAGATGAAAATCACTCCTAAATTCCAATACAGGAGACTAAGAGGGCATAAGAAAGCAAATGAATGGAAAAGAGAAGGATAGAAGAAAAAAACACCCCAAACATAGAAAACCAGAAAGTAAATATAATTACCATTCTGAAGTGTCCTCTACTAGTGTGCTTTTAAATGATGGGCTGACTTCTTTCTATCCTTACTCCAGCTGCCTCTCTATTAATGTTTCAGTTTACTCGCATTGCTTCTCTTTCGGTGTACAGTCATCTGGGCTGTCAGCAGTATGAGACAGCATTCAGTACAGACTCCAGCTCGTCTGTCCAAACACAGGAGAAATTTGATGCTTATTGCAGTGCATATTGCAAGACATAGCTGGAGGCATCACACAAATGTTCTCACACCAAATTAGGGCAGTTGCCTCCTCCGCTTTATTGTTTAATCCTTCTGCACTACCTCAGCATTGGAAAGCAGCTTCTCTCACTGGAGAAATCCTCATTTTTGCAACTCCTAGGTAACAAAGAGGAAGGGGAGCACACTTAATTGCTTGAACCTGAGTACTGTGTATCCCCTGACTTTATAAACATACTGTTCATTATAATATTCAATCAGTAGGAATTTAAATACACAATTCCTAAGCTTTAAGTTACTCTGTTTTGACTTGATGATATTAATAGATTGTTCTGCCCCTAGTGACAACCAGCATCTAAGTATCTTCCCTAATAGCACCTACATTAATACCTAATATTAGGTAGTTCATACTTAGCACCTAGGTATGAACTACCTAGTGCGAAGTAGTTCATATTGGTTTTTATAAACTCACATCTACTTTGCTATGGTCTTTATGTTGCTGATCTTTACACAAATCTGCGAATCACTCCTCTGATTTTGGGAAAAGCTACAGAGATTTCTGGAGCCACAATTATTTTTACAGAGGAAGAATTCCTGTGATAATTTCTATCTGCTGCTTTGCTTAAGCTGGGCCGCACAGTTCTTCAGCAAATACTGGGTCATTACTTTGCAGCTAAGAAACAGGTTGTTCTAGTGCTCTTCTTCCAGTGGAGCTGGTAACATTCTGCTGTTAAGCTCTGGCACCCTGGACAATCTGAAATGTTAATGCTCGTGCAGAAAATCGCCTCAGGAAAAAAATCTCACAGGAAATAACTTGAGCAGCCCACCACTCAAATCCTCTTAGGCACTCTTTAAGTCAACATGTCGGATCTACTAGCTACAAAATCTAAATGAGGTCTGTGAATTACTAAATTATGTGCACCTTAGCCCAGTGCTGCATTCTCTTCCATTGTCCCCCTCCTCTCTTCTGAAATAGGCTGTGAGAGCACCTCTGAGTGTCAGTGTTAATGATTCCTCTCCCCACTACACTCAAGCTCAACTGTCCCAGGACCCATAGACTCACCAGTGTTGGGTTGCCGCACTGAACAATCTCACCAGTCAAAAACTTCCAGAGAGCAAGGAGTGATGGAGTCTTGAGCGATGTCCCTGGCCAGTGAGAGTACATTGGCTTTGTTTCTTCTTAGAATTAATTGAGCTTGAAAAGTCTGGGGATGACCCAGGTCACTATTTTTCCCTTTCTTACACACGCATAGCTAAGTTTAAGATCAAAGACCTGCTCTGTCTTCAGATAGCCCATGAACTCAAGTGCTGAAAATATATGCTGGTCTCTGGTGAAGGTGAGATACAGGTGTAAAAGCCCTGAGGAAGACTTGGGCATACTGTTTTCCATTAGGTTTTCTTATGTTGCTCTGTCCACACGTGCTGGGGAGTGCTTGGGCAGAAAACTCTCAGCCTAGACTTAGAGGGTAGTCTTAGAGCACAGTGTGGGACTGTGCTCCCGCATACTGGTGAGTTTTGTTGTCTCCAGAGTGAGTCTGTGGGCTCTGCTCCACAGAGATATGAGGCAGATATGGTCTGGAAAGTCACCTTGCTTGGTGCAGGCATTCAACCTGCTGAGCAGATAGCGAGCTTGTAGGAAGATGTCTCTGTCCTGCATGGAACATGCCTGATACATGCCCTGCATAGGGAGGGTTAATAGCCCAGCAGCCTGGTCAAGACCTGCTGACTTCAGCTTTTACCTGGTGACACTGGTAAATGATGATGAGAGCTAAATAAGGCTGATTATAAAAAAGCTCTGCCATGGAGTCCTGAGGTGTGCAAATAAGTGAATTTGGCATGAGTTTAGAGGGCTTTGCTGGTACTGCCAGAGGAACTTGTGAATAGCCTATGTTCCTGGGGCTGATGTGCAGCCTGCATGCAACTGGGATGGTCTAGACATTCTCAGAGGGCTTCTTATGTCCATGTGGACTGGGTGCTGTGTCATAGGTGACCTCCAGAGCAATGCAACAGAGCAGAGGAGTTGTGAGTTATCGCCAATTATTTAAGATACCATCAAAATTAGCCTCTTAGAGGGATTAAAAAAACCCAAAACTTAACACGTCCATACAAAACTTAAACCCTTTTTCTCCATTTAAAAATAGACACAGCTCTGAAAATAGCATGTTTTAATAATCTACAGCTTATAAGTACTCTTATCATGGTTTAACAGCAGCTGACAACTAAGCTCCACCCAGCTGTTCACTCCCTCCCTCTGCATGGGGATGGGGGAGAGAACTGGAAGAGTAAAAGTGAGAAAAGCCATGTGTTGAGATAAAGACAGCTTAAGAAGTAAAGCAAAAGCCACACACACAAGCAAAGCAAAGCAAGGAATTCATTCACCACTTCCCATTGGCAGGCAGGAATTCAGCCATCCCCAGCAAAGCAGGGCTCCATTGCTTCCTAAGTAACTGTAAGTATGATTACTTAGGAAAACAAAATGCCATAAGTTCGAATGTCCCCTCCTTTGTCCTCCCCCCTAGCTTATATGCTGAGCATGACGCTATATGGTGTGGGATGTCCCTGGAGTCAGTTGGGGTCAGCTTTCCCAGCTATGTCCCATAGTGATTACGTGGGACATTCTGAAGACCAAGTTCCTCAAATAATATTCCAGCTACATGACTGTATCTTTGCATTGAATAAATGACAGTATAGATGACAGGGATCCTTTCAGGATACATTAGGAAAAAATACGAAGCCTGTCACTCTCTGTGGCAAAGTGACTAATGATTAGCTGTTCCTACATCCTACGTTTACTGTCTTGTTATCTCACAGTGACCTCATCCTTATTACAGTTTGCTAAGATGGCAGTGGACTTTGTATGTGTGAAACAAGCATAAATGCAGCCACATGAAAAAAAGACAGAGAGCCAATCTAATGCACAGAAAAAGGCAGTGTGATTTTTAAGACTCCACTGCCTCATTTTCTTCAAGTAAGTCAGTTACCACTTCTTCATAATCCTTCTCCAGGGCAGACAGGTCTTCTCGTGCCTCTGCAAATTCTCCCTCCTCCATGCCTTCACTAACATACCAGTGCACAAAAGCTCTCTTGGCATACATCAGATCAAACTTGTGATCAAGCCTGGCCCAAGCCTCTGCAATGGCCGTGGTGTTGCTTAGCATGCAGACTGCTCGCTCGACCTGGGCTAGGTCTCCTCCTGGTATAACTGTAAGAGCCTGATAGTTGATCCCAACCTGCAAATAACAATCGAGATGATGCTATGAGAAAAGGGACAAAATAAAACAACAAAGGGGGCGGGGGTAGGGGGAACTCTAAAACCATTAGTGGGGAGAGGAAATGAGGTAGGGAAAAACCCAGATCACCTCAGTGTTATAGTCTAATGTCATTCGAGCACCTTCTTTGTGCACAATGACTTGTGCATATTGTGGAAGTATAAGGATTTGACATTCATTACACTTACTCAACAGGGTAATGCTGGGGTTGGGGGGAGCACCAACCAGAACTGGACTTTAAATGAAGTAAAACTTGTATGTCAGTATGCATGGAAAAAATGAGGACAATGATGAAAATATCTCTTTGCACAGATGTCATAGAAATGCTTCACTTGCCAAAAATATATTTATATTCTTGGTAACTTCGGGTCTGGGTTTGGGAGGTTTCTTTTGATTGGTTTGTTTTTTTAAATCTCATGAACAGACACCCTCAAGTGTCTGTGTGTTCAGAAGATGAGCCTTACCTTGATCTTTTTTCTAAAATACCATTTCTTTAAGCCTTACATGGTTGACACGAAATGGCTTTAAACCGAAAGAGGGTAGATTTAGATTATATACTAGGAAGAAGTTCTCTACTGTGAGGGTGGTGAGGCACTGGAACAGGTTGATCAGAGAAGTTGTGGCTGTTCCATCCCTGACAGTGTTGGACAGGGCTTTGAGCAACCTGGTGTAGTGGAAGGTGTCCCTGCCCGTGGCAGAGGCACTGAACTAGATGATCTTAAGGTCCTTTCCAACCCCAACTATTCTATGATTCTATGACATTCTCCTGTTACTGAATACAAAAATAATGTATATGCTTTCATTTATTTAAATATGTAGGAGTCTGACTCAATGGGATGTCCAGAGGAGGAAGGGCATATTTTATACAAATATATCTTTTGTATGTCCCTCCTTCTCACAACTGGAAAACATACGAGATCTACAACTTTAAATATGAGTTGTCTGCTAGACTAAACTTGCCCTTTAAACATCAAAGAGAAGTTCATGGCAGCCTACTCACCTTGAAGCCTGTTGGACACCAGTCGACAAACTGTAGGGTTCTGTTGGCCTTGATGGCAGCAATTGCGACACTGACATCCTGGGGAACCACATCACCACGGTACAGCATGCAGCAGGCCATGTACTTGCCATGTCTTGGGTCACACTTTACCATCTGGTTGTTGGGCTCAAAGCAGGCGCTGGTGATTTCAGCCACTGAGAGCTGCTCGTGGTACGCTCTGTCAGAGGAGATGATGGGGGCATAGGTGACTAAGGGGAAGTGGATGCGCGGGTAGGGCACCAGGTTTGTCTGGAACTCTGTCAGATCCACATTGAGAGCACCATCGAAGCGCAGTGAAGCCGTGATGGAGGAGACAATCTGGCTGATGAGACGGTTGAGGTTGGTGTAGGTGGGACGCTCGATGTCCAGGTTTCGGCGGCAGATGTCATAGATGGCTTCATTATCCACCATGAATGTGCAATCCAAGTGCTCCAGGGTGGTATGTGTGGTCAGGATAGAATTGTAGGGCTCCACCACAGCAGTGGAAACCTGTGGGGCTGGGTAGATTGCAAACTCCAGTTTGGACTTCTTTCCATATTCAATGGAGAGTCGTTCCATTAGTAAGGAGGTAAAGCCAGAGCCAGTACCCCCACCAAAGCTGTGGAAGATCAGAAACCCTTGCAGCCCAGAACAGTCATCTGCCTGAAAGCCAAAAAGAAAAGTGAAAAAATGAGTTACATATTTTCACATTGCCCCCTCAAATAGAGACAGCAACACCCACACCCAATGATAATGTTTGAGATTTTCCAGTTAGTCTCCCATTCATAGGGAAACTAAGACAGGACATCCAGGACCTGCATGCTTCTGTTCTGCGCCAATGACAACAGTAAAAAAAAAAATGAGAGCCACTATTAAAAATTATCTTGCTTCTGAAATAATAGTGCATACCATCTTACGGATACGATCCAATACCAAGTCAATTTTGTCTTTGCCAACAGAGTAGTGACCACGTGCATAATTATTTGCTGCATCTTCCTTTCCAGAGACAAGCTGTTCCGGATGGAAAAGCTGCCGGTAGGTGCCAGTCCGCACTTCATCTAAACAAGAGACAAAAATAATAAGCTTGGAAGAAATAATTCACCAATGCTGATAACATTTGCAAAACGAAGGTATGTTGGCAGAAAATGGCATAGAAGGTCTGGATTTTGAAAAGCAAAGTACAGAGGTGAGGAGTATCATCTGAGATGTCAGTTTTGAAGAAAAAGAACACAAAACCAAAAGAGTGGACTCTGCTCCAAGTGTATGTTGCTGTGTTACACCAATTAATTCATTTATCAAATGAGAGCTGTGCCATGCTGTGGTAAAATGTCAGCTCTGTATATTGATCAGATGAAGATCCATCAGAACCATCAGGAGAATGACTTTAAAAATAGGAGATTTGCAAGAGTAAAAAGCGTTTTCCCCTGGAGATCTGCCAGGATAATTCTCTTACACCCTCTCTTACACCTGAATGTGAGGAAAGCAATTTCCGTCAGTCAGCAAAGGAAAAATACCACTACAAAAAAAGACCAGAAAGGAATGTCTTTAAGAAAGCTAAACTGTACTCATAACCAGTGGAGGTTTAAATAATAGTAAACTTTTGATTTTATTATTGGTAGAGCACCTATGACAGAGTGCAGTCCAGTTTTCATCTTTTCATTGAGAATAACAGAGGTCTTAGTAATACTTAGGATTAAAATCTTAAAATCTGTACATTTTGCCTGCATGTTATGTTGTGATCATTGCTAATGGAAAGGGCATTATCTTGACATTCAGCGATCTGAACTTTGGCACCCAGAAGAGTTAATTTCTATTTTCCAAGTTTAGTTCTATACTGACCTATTACTGTTTGTTCCAAGTCCACCATAATAGCACGGGGCACATATTTTCTAGAGCTTGTCTCTCTGAAGAATGTGGCAAAAGCGTCATCATCACTGGGTTGGTCGATGAAGGTGCCATTTGGCTGAATGCCATGCTCCAGACAGAAGAGTTCCCAGCAAGAATTGCCAATTTGAACTCCAGCTTGGCCAATGTGAATAGAGATGCACTCACGCTGAAAGGGGAGGACAAGGGAAATGGTGAGAAGGACCAGTGAATATCCTAAGAGTCTACAAGTTGATCTTACCTGAAACCCCAAATCAACCAATGGTTCCAAAATTTTCCACAAGAATGGGATTAATGTAAAACATTCTGACACTTACAAATAGGAAGAAAAATATTTTGCTGTGAGATGCAATAATCACAACAGTTAGAGATTTGCAGCCATGCCTACATGTGGCATACAGTACATGGAACCTACATGTAAGTGCACATACACCTACACAGATAGAAAAACTGTATAGGTACACAAAATACAGAACAGTATATTCCATATTAGTATATTAGTTCCAGCTAAGAAACAAGAGCCAAGTCCACTTGTCTGGGATGACCCAGCTGTGCTACCTTACTGACATATAGATAAAGCAAAGGGAATGATGTATCTTCTGATCTCTCAACCTTCTTTCGAGCGTGTGTTCCAGACAGGTGGAAAATAGGAAGTTAAATGAACTGGAATTAAAGTGCCTTTAGGCCCTTCATTAATTTCAGTCACTGATTGTTTCAGCCCATTCTCCGGCTACTTTTAATTCCATTTAACATGTGAAGAGTTAACTAGATACTCAAAAGGATTTGGTACCCTTCACATGTTACACTAAATTAATCTCCTGAGAAATCCTTCTCAGACATACACTTCTGTAGTCATGGCTGTTCAGTCAGTAAACAGTTTCTAAAGTGTTTATTACGGTGTCATGCACATAGTTTAACAACAGAAATCTAAACCACAAAAGGTTAAGATCACAATTCAAAAAAGACATTTGTCTCCTTCTGTAGATTGCTATGCAGTCTCCCAGGTCTGTGAATTTAAAGGGTTCTCTCATAAACACTGTAGTTGGACAAGGTATATTTGAGTATGAATTTTTTGGTGGGTTATTCCCATCCAGTCTTACCAGGTAAACATCCACATTTCTTAGCTCTTCATTTTAATACTCACAAACTAGTAGGCCATTACTACAGGGTTAAACATACTATATTCAAAGTACATCCTGAGTAGCTTCTACTCAAGAAAACAATTTCCAACCCCATCCTTCTTTTTCTGCACAACTTCCCGTATACTGAATGCATTAACACAAATGTAGCTCAACATATCAGACTCTATTTACCAAGCAGCTAACAACTGTTTGTACACTGTGAGCAGTACTTCTTGCCCCAAAACAAAGCAAAAAAAAAAAAAGGCACTTCAAGCTTCCCACCTTCACTCAGATCTTGACCAGAGTAGGCAGAAACAGGAGGCCAAACACAGTGCTCATTATCTTATAAAATAACTGGATTCTTTTTCTTACCATTGCTTCTCCCACACGCTTCCTCTCTTGATTGGTGGTAGCAGCAGCTTTGGTTACTGATGTTCCTCCTGTTGTGGAAGCACCCTAGTACAAGATGACAGAACATATGCACCTCACTGGCAGGGGCCCCTCAGCACCACAGCATAAGCAGGAGAGGTCATAATGTCTCCCAGGCAACCATCCCATTTCACACACTCTCCTGCTACACCAGCAGCCTGCTTTCAACCATCAACAGGTCCCAGCCCTAAAGTCTGCTCTTCAGCAAGTCTTCCCGATTAATTCTCCAAGCTAAACCTTGGGATTTGTAAAAAAGAAATTACAACCAGAATTTTACCATGTACGGAGCGTCTTCACAAATAACTGGTTCCCTTCCTTCAAACTCTAACAGCTGGTGAACATGCTGCTGAGAACTCATTTAAAACCATTTCAGAATTTCTTCATTTACACTTCCAAAAGGTGGCATTCATTTTTAAATGGCATCTTTCTGACAAAGGTGACTGTAAGTGAACGGTGGACATGGAGTTAACTTGGCCAAGTTCTGCTGACTGAAATGACTTGGGGAACAGATTGAACTGCAAGGGATTCCACTTGACTATTTGAACATCTGTGAACAAAGTACATGAGGTTATCATCTTGCCTCCAGGTGCTAAGTTACCAAGCCTCCCCTTTCTGCCAGCCATTCCTTATATTTGTGACCTCTCTTCGTCTCCTTATAGACAACTGTTCTTCAGCCTTTCAGCTCCCTACAACATGGGCCAATAACAGTTCTTTGCATCTAGCAAGATGGCAAAACGAAAAAACAGAACTGTAATTTGCTCTTAAATGGGGAGTTACTAGCAGAAAGTTTACATACCCATGGTATGCATACATATTTTCTGTGACAGCCTTAAACAGTAGGATCCCCATAGCTCTGTCTTTTCCCTCCATTATACAATGAGAGCACTGAGAAAAACATAGCTAAAGATGAATACCAGGTACTTTATTCTTGGTAGTATTGGTCTTGGTCATCCCACATGAAAAATGGGATATTGAAAAAAATATATACGCTGGATCTTTCACATAAAGTAATTAGCACTCTATGAACCCCTATGAAATGCAGACTTACATGCTACGAATATCATCAGTTGAAGATGCTGGAGAGGAACTCTTCATCAGGGACTGTAGCAATAGGACAAGAGGTAATGGGTTTAAACTTAAACAGGGGAAGTTCAGGTTAGATGTAAGGAAGAAGCTCTTTACTGTGAGGATGGTGAGGCACTGGAACAGGTGGCCCAGAGAACGGGTGAATGCTCCATCCCTGGCAGTGTTCAAGGCCAGGCTGGACAGAGCCTTGGGCAACACAGTCTAGTGTGAGGCAACCCTGCCCATGGTAGAGGATTGGAACTAGATATTCTTAAAGTCCTTTCCAACCTAAACCATTCTATAATTCTATGATATTGTCAGATTCCCACTGATCGAGTCCTCTACTTAACTCAAATACACCTGTACAATGAGGACACAGTGAAATATCTTCAAAAATTATCTGAAAAATGCAGAGAATCAATACATTAAACACAAAAGTTTTCATGTACTTAATCGCAGCACAAATAAGCAACAAAGAGGTAAATCAGTAGTCACTTTATTGTGAGAATTAAATATTGTTGGTTTAATTGCAAAATTCTGCCTTCTTGCCCTCTCAGGAAGGATTAAATACAAGACAAATGCTAAATCAGTAGTACTCAAAGGAAGCAAAGGTTACCAGTCTACACTTAAAAATCAAATTGAATGTTTAAGTCCTGGTAAACAAATGGTTAAGACATTTAACAGCAGTCTGTAAACAATGTGTGGCCTGCTCAAACCATTGGTCCCAACCTTCAAAATTGTACCTCTGACATATAACTGAAAATGTTAATAGAAAACAAGAGCAAAAAAAATGGCTGTTACCTAAACAGTCTGGTCAGAATTTGGCCTGACTTCAGAGTGCAGTTTGCTGTTTCATTAACTGCTTTACAAAGGACATAAAATGAGGCCTTGCAATGTGGGGGGCCACTAGACACAACTGAGTCAAGCTTGTTCAAGAAACTACTCCAGACTTCTGGACTTTATTCTACCTGATTTCCTAGCAAATGTTGGTACTGCAGAGTAACTTGGCTGCAGTAACTACACTTATGATTGGATTAAAAGAATCATTTAGCAATATCAAGAGCAGCTCTTTCCTATGCGAGCAGAGTTTGTAAGAAGTAACTTTAATATGGTGAAGCATTATGTGCTACTTCTGGTGTGAAGTCCTAGCAGAAATAAAAGCTTTGGGAAGGAATACGGGATTATTGATGGATGCACTCGTGAACGGACGGATGGGTAAGAAAAGAATGTTCTATGCCAAACCTCCAATTTCTGCCCCAAGTGGTTGGAAATGGTGTCAGGCAGTGACAGATCTTCTGCAAAGATACTAATCTTCTTGCTACAGATCTGGGGAATGTTTTGGGATCTCAGAGAAGTATATGTTCCCACCTACTAATAAACTTTTATTCCAAATGATAGAGCATTGCTAAATGGCTGCCATGTAACCCAGGAATTCAGAAACTTAGGATAGGGGGGGCAATTCTAGACACAGAGACTTTTTGACATCTATAGAAACAAAGCAAGAGGTAGGGAAAGAGTAAAACAGTGCTACAACTTCTGTTGTGCAACTAGATAATAATATAGAATATACTTTAAAAAAATAAATCTATTTCCTTACTACCACCACATGCTCCTAAGAACTACTATGCATGAGGCAAGCATAAAGTGCTGTTATTTGCATTTAAGAAGAGCAGATACAGAACAACAGTCCTTGCAGTCCACCATCTTGGCTTTCTGGCCTAAATATAACTAAAATCAAGAGCGCCTATGCAAGCAAGCATCAGTCACAAGAGAAAACGTATGCAATAGGCTTCACTTTCTCCAGTGATTTTCTTCCACATGCTTGTCCTAAATCCCATGCTGCAGGAACTGGGCTTTTCAGGTGTCTTCAGGCAAAACAAAATGCTCCCTTCCATTGCCTTCTACAGTCATGCCTCCAGGAACCTATTTCACTCATTCAGAGAACTGCCCAGCATTCCCAAGGATGAAAATTTCTTCTGTAGTTAATTTGCTACACAACCCTCACTCAAGAACTACATCCAAAGCAAAGTGTTTGAAAAGGAGGATTCTTATTCAGTTGTAGATTACAGAAGGAGTGGGCTCTGCCCTGGTGTTTGACAGACTGGTGCCAAGCAAAATGTCAGGAATAGTTGGCGGTGTTTTAAGATCCGCACATCACCATTCCCTGTCTGAAGAAATAAAGGTATCGCCACACAGGAGTTCACAGGTGGTCATCTCAATTAGGACACTGATTTCAACAGTCCTTGAAGAGTGAGCCTGATTACATCCTCAAGACAAGCTGCCGCCTTTACAGAAGCAGAGAAAAACACATTCTGTGATGGAAGATACCTAGTCTTGAATTGGAGGCCTGTGGATTGGAGAAAACACAGCTGCCCAAGCGTGTCGGAAAAGCTGGACCAGTTTGTAAATGAATGGCAGTGACGTAGGGGAAGCTGCAGAATAAAAGTGGCAAAAAAAGCCTTTCATTATAAAAGGTAAAACTAAAATACATTACACATCTTAAGAAAGAGCTAATCCCAACTAGAATTAATGGAAACATAGATGTCTTACTATCTTCTGTTTGATTCAGTCCCTGGGCCTTCACTCAGGGCACTGCTCCCATCCACAGCATGGTACTAGTAAGCTCCTAGTCATCCAATTTTTTTGTCTCCCAAAGACTAGACATTTACACAGACCAGACCTATTAAAGCAACTATTTTATTCTCTCTAACCATAATGGAATTTTAAAAATCTGAAATCTCAGTACTGTACCTGGGTCTAATCTCACCACCACCAGATACAGCAGAAAAGTAGCCAGGAGCATCTTTTTGTAAGGAAATAAATAGAAATGGCTTGACATGGACCTCAGTGCTCTACGCAGCAACGTCAACATGGTCAAGAGCTTTTGGGACAAAGCACCTAGTGTACAAGAACAAAAAGGCTGTTAGGACAAAGTACAGTAAAAAAAGTAATCACAGAGATACACATAACAAGAAACTAAAATACTAAAGTAAGACTACTCTTAGTTTGATTGCTTACGAGTCGGCTTAGGTTTTTTGCCTTTTTTATAATATGAAACAGAGAAACACTACTATTTTGTAATACAATTCATTATACCTTTTTTTTTTTTAGGAATTTGCTTTAGTATAATATGCTCTTATATCACAGCAGTATCAGCTTCGCTCCGGGCAGATAACATCAAGTGATTTACAGTTCTGGACGGAAAGCAGTAGTTTAAACGCCAGACATACATTGTTCTACATGGGCTCAACTGTAAATGGACATATAGCTGAGAGTACGCAGAGCCAACAAAACATCCACATAAGGGCCTGACAGGTAATTTCAGTTTCCCTTAAAAAATAAAATTAAAAAATCTGAAGTAATTTTAAACCTCGAAAATAATTCCCATGTCTTGACATTGGAAGAGACTAAACACATTTTGTAATTTTCAGCAAATGGATCATTAAGTCTTCTGTTTCCTTCTGTGGTAAACAACAGGACTTCCTCATGGCTGGCTTCTCATGACAATATTCTTGATATATAGTTAATACCTGCTACCCTTTGACAAGGTAGCAACTAACTTGAAATGAAATGATAAAAAGAAGCACAAGCAACAGCGGGAAAGCCTACCCAAAACAGTTTCTGTCGCTGCATCTTGCTGTTCTTCAGCAACCAAGTGCATCTCCTCCTGTTGAGCCCACTGGCATCGGCTTTCACAAATGGTCCCAAGAAATGCTAGCTGCTGCTGGCTATCAAAAACACCACAGCCACGTACAAGTTCCTCTGCTCCCTCAAACTGGCCAAGTGGAAGCAACACATGCAACAGATAGAGCTCCAGCAAGGCACTGTACTCAGGGAGGCTCTTGTTGGTTTGGTCTGTCAGCCAGCTGCTGCCAGCCTCCAGCATCACCTGGGGATCTCTCACTTTGCTGTACAGCAGGATACTGAAACACAAGAAAGAAATGTTAGAGTACATGACTCTCTGTAAAAGCTGAGATTGCTGACAGTTACTATCTACAGGCAGCTATCATGAAGGCAAGTATCAGGGTCAACACTTAAACAACAGAAAGATTTCTGAGGTGGACAGGAAATGCAACCACTGATGTTCCTTTCTTAGCATCACCCCTTTTGTACTTTATCATCATGAAGCAGGGTGCATGTGTGTTCAGCACACACAGGTCAAGAAGAGGCCTGACCCTGGTTCCCCTCTCATCCTCACACCCCACAAAGTGAAAATATAACACCATATTCAAGTCTGGCCTGCCATTAAACCTAGTGCAAACCCTGTGTGTATCTGACAGCCACAGACAGAAACTCACCACAGTTCCAGAACTTTTGGAGGCAGATGTTCAGGGACATGGTAATACTGTAGGACCCATGACAGAACTTCTCTCCACCGGTTCATCTCAGCCAGCGCCTGAATCCCCACAACACAAAGCGAGCATTTCACTTCTGCAGAACTGGCAATGAAGAGATACCCAAATAAGCACTTCTGACAACCCCTTGCATCCCTTTCAGCGAGCTGCAGCCTAGCCTAGGTACTCTACAGTTCTCTGGAAGCTGCTTCCTCTCCTTCCCACCTCCTCACCTTGGATGAAAAGGTAAATTCACCCCCCTGAGAAGACGCACTGATTCTGCATCATAGAATCAACTAGGTTGAAAAATACATTTAAGATCAAGTACAACTGCCATTAAACCTCATCCGTGAGGGCCTCATTTACACGGTTTCTGAAGGCTTCCAGGGGCAGTGACTCCACTTCCCTGGGCAGCGTGTTCCAATGCCTGATCACCCTTTTGGTGAAGAAATTTTTCCTGATACCCAGTCTAAACCTCCCTTAGTGCAGCTTGAGGCCATTTCCTCTTTTCCTATCACCTGTGACTTGGGAATAGAGATCAGCCACCTCCTGGCTCTACCCTCCTGTCACGCAGTTGTAGAGAGTGACAAGGTCCCCCCTGAGCCTCCTCTTTTCCAGATTAAACACCCCAGTTCTCTTCACCAGCTCTGTTGCCTTTCTCTGGACCTGCTCCAGCACCTCAATGTCTCTCTTGTAGTGAGGGGCCAACTCAGGAGGCCACTCATTACAAGAGATCTCTAGGAGGGCTTGGGAAAGCACGCCTTGCTTTTCTCAAACACACACAGAACCCTTCACATGAAACAGACGGGCCATAAGCAAACAGCCACCAAAGCCGAGCCCGGCTTTAACCGGTCACTAATTCATATTTTAGCAACAGTGCCGCCCTCTGGTAATCTAGGTAAGCAAAACCACAGCAAGGACCACAGATATTATTGCCATTCACACAGATATTCGAACCGACGAGGTTCCTAACTCCCGACAAAACAAACAAGCAAACAAAAAAAGCTTATAAAACCCCAAAGGTCCTCTATGAAGAAAAATAAACCCACAAGCAGGGCAAACGCGGCCTGCAGTCAGTGGCCAGCCTGACATTGGTGCTACACCGAGCCTCTTCCAGCACCGCCCTGTCCCCGCTCGCAGGCCCGGCGGTCGCTCCTACCTCTCGGGCCCGGTCCCAGGGCCCAGGCTGTCGCATCCCGCTTCACACCTCTCCACAGCTGCGGCGAAGTCCCGGTGCAACACCAGCAGGTCCGTCGCCTCCTCCAGAAGCGAGGCCGCCTGGGCCAGAGGCTCGCTCCTCATGGTGGCGGTGGGAGGGCTATCGGGAGGGCTGCGGCTCCCCCCCGCGCCCCTCCGCGCCTCGTCGCCCGCCCGGCTCCGGCTCTAGATCCACTGCTACCGTCCTCTCAGCTTAGCTCCGCTCAGCTCCACTCAGGCAGCAACAGCAGCTCCGCGGCAGCACCAGGCCGTAAGGCAACCGCTTCCGCACCGCCTCCCAGCGGCAGAAGGGCCGCCCCAACGGGCATCTTGTCCTCGCCCCGCGGGCTGGCGGGACATGTAGTCCATCCGTGGTGAGGGAGAGGCGGCAGGCAGTCGTCGCTGCCAGCATCAGTGCTTTAAAAGCGGGGTTTAGCAAGGTTCCTCCTCGGAAAGCCGCGACCGCAGATTAGGGGGTCATGGTGCCGGGATGGGCGTCCGTACCGGTCCCCGCTAACCCCCCTTCAGTTTCTCACTCGTGTGGCTGGCTACCAAGGGGACGCGGCCAAGCTAGCGCTCTCCGCCTCGCCTCCGTTAAGCGGGGAACCACGGCCCCGCAGCGGCAGCTGTCCTTCTCCCCGCGGCCGCCGGGCGTCAGCCCAGCCCCAGCAGCGGGGCTCCGGCATGAGGCAGCGCGGCCGGGCCAGCAAGAGAACGGGCTTGGTGTGGGTACTAAAGGCTCCCGGCCCCCCCTCCTCTTGTGAACTACTTTTCCTCAGTCGCCCCGTGAGCACAGTTTTCATCTGTTAAAGGAACTGGAGCTCGGGCACAGTAACATTGTCTCCATCAGCACCCTGCAGGCAACGATTCACATTCTTTTTCGGTTGTTATTCAAAAACAATAGGGTGTCTTGGTTACAAGGTAATTATGGCAGTCAGTGCAAACTCCCTTCAAAAGTTAATCTCTACGAGACAGACAAGATTGATTTATTTTGTAATGCTGACTCCCTACTGTACCTATTTATTAACATAAAAAATCAGACAGGCTAATGCAGAACATGTTGAAAAGTGGAGCATATCTTTTAAAGGGGAGTTTCCATGCTACTGCAGCATTGGAAGCAGGGAATAAAGTGTGGACAGCACAATTACAAACTTGGTAACTCTCATTATCA